GGCCCATGCCCAGCAGTGGGCAAGTTTGCCTTAACTCTTTGCTGTTCTTGCAAAAAAGGGGTTAAAATGGCAGGATCTAAGTTCAATTTTATATTTTCAAAACTATTTTGAGGCATGTAGGGCAAGATACCTCAAATTAAAGCTGATTAAATTTGCTCTTAAAATAATCAATTTTTTTAACCAGAAAAAGAGGATCACTTATGAATAAATTAGCATAAATTAACTCTTAAGGCAGTGATTTTTTCCTTAAAACGCCCCTAGTTTCCAGGGTTTACAGAGCTTGATGAATTTCTTTTACAAAAAAGTTTGATAATTTCATCAAGAAAAAGCACACCAAGTTTGGAGACAAAATTCTCAATTTTCAATGAGATACGAGATTTTTCGTGATATGGTTTTGGCCGCGCAAAACTGGCCAAAACATGTTTCCTGGGCGTCCATTTATTAAATGCCTTTTTTTGGTCTCCAAGCATTTCCTTTAATGCGATTTTAATTACAAAATTGTATTAATGCAGAATATATTCCTTCTTGAGCCTTTTTTTATATAATAAAGCCAGTCTCCTGCCCTTAATAATACTAATTACTAATACTAGTAATAATACGTACGGGTCAAGAGTTGTATGTGGCAGTAAATAATATTGTACATGCTTATGCTAATACTCTATTTGTACAAAACAAACAAACCAGTTRGAATTTTTTTCATCTTTATTCACTAAAGCAATAAAATATGTAGGACAATACACTTCRTTTTCAACATTGCTTACGGTTTTCCTTAGTGTTTCTTAGGCAAACAAACCTGCAATGCAAAAAGGCAAAAGGAGGTAAACATTTTAGTTCATAAATATACAGCCAATTGATACACGGTTTCTTACGGCACAATGTCGGGAAACTGAATATAAAACTAGTCATGGTGATAGTCCTTGCTGTRCCACACCCTGAAGCMKTTCCTAGCACTAGTTATGTGTAGGAACACCTGACATTGAGGGGCATCACAATATGAGGCCACCCTCAGCTGACCTCTCCCCTCACGATAACAAACAACACAGTTGCGTCGAACATCCTCTGAAAACACAGGTAAGTGTTCTGTAAAGAACTGTCCMGAAGGTTTGACCTTGCYGCTAGTTGGGAGAGCATCATCATCACCAATACCAGCTAGTTGTCTGACAAGCTCTTCCTTATAATCAAGGAGTGAGTAAGACTTTGGTCTCCGAAGGGCTTCGACATTGGGGTTGTTGGCTCTATGCTCCCTAAATAGAATATAGCTGTTGACAATAGCTATGTCAATTAGGTGAAAGAAGAGAGTCTTCCACCAACGCATACACTTTCTGAGACAGTTGTTGTTAGCCAAGATCTGGTCAGAGCGATCAACAGCATTCATATAAGAGTTATACTGCTTGATTGCTGCTGSTTGTTGGACATTGATCTGCCTCCAGACATTTCCAGTCTTRACCKTTCTCGTCACCTGACATGCTTCATTGGCATTACCAATGGTTGTCAAGAGGGAAACAACCTTGTTGTCCTTCCACTGCAGGGTAAGAACAGSTGGGGTCCTGTCCCACCTCATGCTTCCACGATCTTTTCCCCTTGCCCAAGTCTTCCCATTTTTGAGAACTACTGGGAATTCTCTTCGACTTTCTATCATGGTACCAGTACATGGCACCCCAAGCTGGTACAAATCTCTCACCAATGGAAAAGATGTATAGAAATTATCAAAATATAAGTGATAAYCTTGGTGGAGAAAAGGTTGCATAAGTTTTAAGACCACATCATATGCAAGACCATTGGCACTGACATTTCTACCTGCAGCCTTGCCAATGTAAACATTGAAGTCACAGGTATAACCATTACTACTATCCGCCAACACCCACAGCTTTATACCCCACTTGGTTGGTTTATCCCTTATATACTGCCTTATGCCTGACCTGTGTCTGGATTTTACCATCCGTTCATCAACGGCCAGGTTTTGCTTAGGCTRGTATAAACTAAGGCARCGGGCTTTAAATGCATCTATAAAAGACTGCACTTTCCTTAGCTTGTTACCAGGGGCCTCAGCTGCGGGGTGGACAACATGGAGCATAGCCATAAGAGCTTTGAATCTGTTGATAGGCATAAAGGCTCTGGCCCAAAGACCATGATAGAGTGTCTTTGTGCTCCAATATCTGTCAAAAGTACTAGCTTTGACAAGACCAAAATAGATGAGGRCAGCTATTAGCTTCCTGATTTCTTCTGGATTTGTATCCAGCCAGCTACCATCTGGCCTAGTGTAAGACTGTTGTACTCCAGTAGCTGCTATCTTTAGATATGCATAGCTGTTAGTATGCATACATATATCATTTGTCATATCAGTTGTAAAAAACAGCTGGAAAAATTCAATGGCTGTGGTTAAAGTGTTTCTYAGATATGGCTGGTCTGAGTGTAAGCCAGGTGGCCGTCTAGGTGCAAAGGGTGGTAATATATTGCTAGTATCTGGGTGGTTATAGCTTTTTTCCCCTTGTTGAGCAGCATTCTGAACTCCAACAGCACCTCTCCCGACATTTCTTTGACCACGAGCCCTGCCAACACCAACTCTTCTACCAGCACCACGGGGCCTGCCAACACCAACTCCTCTACCAACAGCACTAGCTCTTCCAACAGCACCGGCTCGTCTAACAACACCAGCTAGTCTAACAGCACCGGCTCGTCCAACAGCACCGGCTCGTCCAACAGCACCGGCTCGTCCAACAGCACCAGCTCTAACAGGTCTACAAGAATGCACAGCAGAAAGGGGAACATTGAAGTCTGGATCACTTTCCTCACCTGATGAGGGATCTGAGTCTGGTGGTGGTGAATCGGTCTCCTGTTGTTCCTCCTCATGATCATTACTGTTGAAAATTCAATAGTAAAGTATTAGTTCAACTTATTTTCAATAAAATAAGCCATTTGACTTTATATTTTATGGTCTAATAGACTKCTTAGAAAAGATGATAAATAGAAAAATCAATAAAGAAAAGGAAAATAACACCAGATTATGAAAAGTAAAAGATTTGCATCGATCAAGTTCTTCAAAAGCATTTGGTAAATAAAACAAAATATGTTAAAATTTCTAATCTTTTCTTAAGAAATTCAATCAAAATTAAAAGCTGAAAAGTCAAAAAGAGATTCTAGATGAGATTTGGCATACAATGTATAAAACGAGCAGAGTATAAGCCACGATAATATCAAATTTAAAAACAGCATCTAAATTGCCATGGAAACCGATTTGCCAAAGAAGTGCTAACCGCTTCAACGAAAATTTTATTCGTAAAAAAATTAATTCTATGGCAAGAGATTGTCAGAAATTTATGAATAAGTATATGACTGTTGCAAAAACACTGTTCTGGTTGTCTATGTGGTGTTATAAATGTGATTTTTTTTAGGTTTTACATGAATCTAAATGTGATCATTCGTAAACACGCTTCGTGACAGTTTTCACTCACCTCGATTCTTCACTTTCAGCGAGTATTTCTCGGTTCAAATCCGATTCTTCTGAACTAGAAATCCCTCCACAGCTGCTATCATCACTAAGGGCATCATCCATGATAAAAGAAAGCATTTCCTCTCTGTCAATATCAAAATTAAAGGCTCTTGCTCGCTTTGGTTGAGACGCCATTTTTGAGCGTCACGCTCCAACGAAATTTTTCGGAGTTGCCGGTCAAAAACAGAGTCAATAATTACTCGGCGATTCTGAAACGAAGCCAGTGATTGGTTTATTTCTTCCGAAGGCTAGTTATTGATTTTCGTGGCTTTTCGATGAGATCCGACGATTTTATCCGATTATGACGTCATCAGACGAATTCGTCCGATTTTACTGAGCGTGAACGGGAAAGAGTTAAACATACCATAGATCACTTTTCTACCTCGTTCATTGAAACACCACTGCCACCAAATTTGTCAACTAAGTCATATTTATGGAGAATATAAACCNAAAAAAAAAAAAAAAAAAAAAAAAAGAGCAACAAAACAAAGACAAATTTAAACTCGTGATTTTTGATAAAGTTATTGAAAGCTCTTTCTTTTCAGCTTTTTGATGCTCTGTATGAGCTGTGATGCAAAGTTATTTGCCAACAAGTGCATTTGTACTGTCTTCATAGTACATGTATGTTGTTCAACAGTCAACCCAAGTTCTTCGAGGCCCTTTATTGCCTCTGGTAAGTACCTTTTGAAAACCCACTTATTCTGAAATTGGGAATGCTTGCTTGTTGCCATGAATGCCTTTCTGAGCCCACCCAAACCAGCTGGATGATTTTCTCATGAAATTCTACTATAGTTTGAACTTTTGACCAAACCATTAGCTGTAAGTCAAAGTCAAAAATGTTTACCGCTGTTGAACGCACTTTAGCATCACTATTGTGTTTATCTTGCCCAGTTTTATCATCTCTGAAAGTGACAGGCTTAAAGGAAATTTTGTTGAACATGATTTGGCTCCATTATGTTTGGTCTTGGAGATCTTTGGTCTCGGTTGAAGTATTTGAGATGTAAATGCAAAGGCAGGTTGACTGTCTCCGGTTTCGGTTCCATGACTGACCACATCATCATCCTGATCATCCCAGATGTACTCGTACGTTGTTCTCCCACACTGCGTGAAATAGAGAAAATGCGGGTTCTGATATCAAAGTATTTGAACCCGTATTTCCTAAAAATACATTGATTGCCGGAAGTACCTAGGAACCTATCACAATGTTTGTCATGGAATGTCAAAATCCTATATTCCCATATTCGAACTATTTTCCCTCTCCGGGAATTTCCGGGGTCCGAAAATTATCGTTGTATTTTTCAGTATTTCCTTCGATTCTTTATGTATCTGAATGACAGTTTTGAAAATTTTTAATGAGGTGCCTATTAATGAATTGTGTTTCTTAGTATTTATTTTGTTTTGTTGAATTCTTTAATGGTAGTTTAGTGGATTCGAATTGACATTTTAGTTTAATGAATTGTATTAGACTTATACTTTAAATTCTGAATTCGTATTTTTGAGGATTCTTATTGATATTTCAGGTTTACAGATCCGCATTTCTAAAGATTTTCTGTTATACTTTGAGTACTAAATCCGTATTTTTGCCATTTCTTATTGATATTTTAGATTTCTTACTCTTATTTCTCCAGGATTTYCTTTGATATTTCAAATGCCGAATGGTATTTTTGCCGATTCTTTGTAATATTTTAGATTTCTTAAGCGTATTTAATCAGGATTTTCTTCGATACTTTAAATTCCAAATTGGTATTTTTAAACATTTTCCGGGACTTTTTTGGATACTTTGAATACTAAATTCTTATTTTTGAGAATTTCTGGGGGATATATCAGACATTCAACTGGTATTTTAAATGAGATTATTTGGATTTTCCGATTCCCATGAAATTGAATCATATATCTATAGTTATATACCTACTTTTTCTATGTTATTTCTAAATATGATTTCAGCTATCCCTACTATACTTAATAGACAATACTTACATTAACAAAACATTTATTAGTTCCAAAATCGTAGTTAAATGGTATTGAACTAGAACAGTCTCACAAATGTGAGGCAATAATTATACATAGCATTTGGTAAGAAAGAAAAGGAACTTGCAATAGAGCTTTTAAAACCTCCTTTTCCTTTTGCCCCATTTTTTCTTTCGTCTCGCGCGCATCATTTCATCATTGTCATGTTCATCATCGTTCGTGGTGAGTGTAGGGGCACTAGGCCTTTTGTTATGTGGTGTGCTGCACTGTGCAGCTAATGATGGTTCTATACCTGCTGGTTCCACATCTGAATCCTCAGGTTCCTGTTCCTCTTTCTCCATTGTTTCCTCTGGTTCCTCTGCGGGTTCCTCTGATTCTTCTTGGTTTATGGCAGTATTTAGTGCCCATGCCKGGGCATTTGATGGAGAGGGCCTTGGTGATGGATGTTCTCTCACCCTTTTATATTTGGGGTGGTGAGATGCTGTTTCTTGTGAGGAAGCCCTTTCTTGGAGTCTGGCTAGGGTCGTATTTAGTTGGTTACTTCTCCAAGAAGGGCTTTTCACAACCCATACATCTTTCTCATCACCATCCTCCTCATCACTCATAAAATTATGAGTGATGCCCCCGAGCATTCTTTTTTCTTCCTCGGAGGCAACTTCCATCCTTTGAACATACAGCTGTTAAGTAAACGAAAGAAAATTGATGTTTTAAYATATAGTTTGAATCGGCCTTCGAAGACAACATGACCCAAATAAACAAGTAAGCTTTAGATTCCAAGATATTTTTATTACTAGCTTTAGCACTAGCGTCTCGTTTTTCGTTTATAATATCAAGATATGTTTATGTAAAGGCCAATTTACACAGTAAACTTTTGCTTACAATTGTTACCGGCAATACTGGTACGACAGTACGACAGTACTGTTGCTAGAAATTCAAAGCTGCACCTTGTAAATTGGCCTTTAGAATTTCAACGGAAACTTTTGACTTCACAATTTCGGAACGCTTTGGTTCATAGTTAATATAGGGAAGAGAATTGCAGCCTAACTTTTCACGAAAAACTCATCAAACTCCCCGGTAACAATGAAAATACAGTAGTGGTTAACATACCCTTCTCCTTCTTGATGTTAGGGCTTTTTCTTTCTGCTTTTTTTCAGTGGCATCTCTTCTTTCCGGCAAACTGTCTAGGTGCCTTTTCATTTCATAGTATCGCGTGGCAGCCCCTAAGAGTAAAAACAAATGTTGATTAGATATAATACACAAGGACAAGGACTTTCTTTAAAAACTGAAGCTTAGTGAATCCTTTGACATCCTAGACAAAAATCACAAATTTTCTCGCTACGACAATCAAAGTTCGTGTCTGAAAGATTTTTCTTAATGCATTTTCTCTTGAGGAGAATATAGATTTCATGATCAGGTATAAGATAAAATATTCATATTTCGTAATTGTGACTCACTTCTAATCTAGCTTTGCTGTCCTTCAGTATGGTTTCCACAAGGAAGTGCAGTTGTGAGGGGTGTCAATTCTACCGGCACAGAAAAAGAAATGGTATTACAAAGATGCATACAATTCTTTAATAACATGTAACTATATTTCCAATATCAAATAATCCGGAGATGATCTTACTTTTCATCCCCACGATACTGGTTRGCGGCATCTTGTTTATTGTGGAGCATTCATACGTCTTCCTGCTGAAACAAAAGGCATGACAATGCTTAATAAAAAGGGTTTTAAATTAAAATGGGCTTTGTTCGGTTTGCTTGGCGTGGGCCCATGCCCAGCAGTGGGCAAGTTTGCCTTAAACATACCATAGATCACTTTTCTACCTCGTTCATTGAAACACCACTGCCACCAAATTTGTCAACTAAGTCATATTTATGGAGAATATAAACCNGAAATTCAATCAAAATTAAAAGCTGAAAAGTCAAAAAGAGATTCTAGATGAGATTTGGCATACAATGTATAAAACGAGCAGAGTATAAGCCACGATAATATCAAATTTAAAAACAGCATCTAAATTGCCATGGAAACCGATTTGCCAAAGAAGTGCTAACCGCTTCAACGAAAATTTTATTCGTAAAAAAATTAATTCTATGGCAAGAGATTGTCAGAAATTTATGAATAAGTATATGACTGTTGCAAAAACACTGTTCTGGTTGTCTATGTGGTGTTATAAATGTGATTTTTTTTAGGTTTTACATGAATCTAAATGTGATCATTCGTAAACACGCTTCGTGACAGTTTTCACTCACCTCGATTCTTCACTTTCAGCGAGTATTTCTCGGTTCAAATCCGATTCTTCTGAACTAGAAATCCCTCCACAGCTGCTATCATCACTAAGGGCATCATCCATGATAAAAGAAAGCATTTCCTCTCTGTCAATATCAAAATTAAAGGCTCTTGCTCGCTTTGGTTGAGACGCCATTTTTGAGCGTCACGCTCCAACGAAATTTTTCGGAGTTGCCGGTCAAAAACAGAGTCAATAATTACTCGGCGATTCTGAAACGAAGCCAGTGATTGGTTTATTTCTTCCGAAGGCTAGTTATTGATTTTCGTGGCTTTTCGATGAGATCCGACGATTTTATCCGATTATGACGTCATCAGACGAATTCGTCCGATTTTACTGAGCGTGAACGGGAAAGAGTTAAACATACCATAGATCACTTTTCTACCTCGTTCATTGAAACACCACTGCCACCAAATTTGTCAACTAAGTCATATTTATGGAGAATATAAACCAGAAACGATGTTATCGAAATGAAGAGAAATTTGCATTTACCTAAATAATAAAAATTTCACTTCTTTGAGTCAGTTTCACGTTTTGTTTATGCTTCACCTTCGTTGCTTATTATCTTAAGAACTCTTTGTCATTTTAGTAACTCTAACCCAAATCTAAGCTATAATTTATCACCTAAAACTTTCCATGGCAGATAAAACTCAACTGTACTGGTTATTTTACTAACAATTACATAGGCTATGGCATGGCGTCACTGGATTATGAGCTGTTTTGTGCACTAACAACTCAGTTAATTCAAGACGCTGAAATGAGAAATGAGGGCTGAATTTCCCGCTTTTTGTACCATGGCCACTCAAATAAAAAGAAATTGGGTTAAAAAAGTTTTACATAAGGCTTATCCTTTTATTTTTCTTGTTTTAAAACAAATTCAAGATGCTATAAAATTTTAAGAAACCTACTAGTCGGCATTTAATATAAAAGCTATTGGGTTCTAAGAATTATTATTTATATGTCAAGTGAGCTTAATAATGATAAAAAAGTCTTGAAGTAACTCATCTGAGGTTTAAAAAGGCTAAAGTGACATTTACATTCGTTTTACATGAGTTGTTTCATTCGTTAGCGAGTTAGTCTTGAGCTTAAGTGTCAAGTAATAAAGTTTGGTAAATCATGTACTACTATGCTTTAATGTAGCCTTAATAAACGGTTAGATATTTCTTGAAGTGATTTCAATGTTGGTGAGTTGGCAAACAAATGTTCGATGATTTTATATGTGGGCGAATTGGTCCGTTGGCGAATTGACTGTAATTCTGCCCAGCATTATGTAAAGAAGCCAAAACTTATTTCTCTTAAGCGAGTGTTAAAAGCTTTATACATCACCGTAGAACAAAATAGGATTGCTTAACCCCATACTAAGAATTTGTAGTAGTTTTGAATATCCTAGCGTTATATAGCCAATGGGAGTCCTTCTATG